TGCCTTATAGTTCTATGGGTGGATCAATATGGAGTTGGGGTGAGTACCAATGTTCGATCAACTCACGTTCTCATCGAGTTCTTGCTCCTCCTCATCTTCGTCTTCTTTTCGCCAAGACTGTTTATCAGCCATATTGATGCGATTGATGTCTGTTGTTTTCAGTGAAACCCGATCAATCTCATCCCATGGTCAGCTTGACTTTAAGAGCTGATGAGAGATCCCATGCTAGCGGGTCACAGCTTTAGGCAAACGCGAGCTAATGACAAGCTCCGACGCGCTGCCTGTCGCGAGCTCACGTGCACAGTTCTGAGCGATTACCAATTGCATGATTGGTTGGTGAGGCCCTGTTCGGCAGTACCTGTTGCACCACAGAAGCTGGGGGGGGCAAGCAAGTCACTCCTAGCAGCCAAATCCCGATATGATGCGTTGTAGGCGATCCCGGAGCCCATGGAGATGCGTGCATCATCGCCGTCGGCACTAGTTGCATGTACGTAACATAAGATTTCTTTACACCCCTCAGCTGTTTTATGATTCCAAACCTCGCACCACTCCCAATTGATCAATAAATTGCATTTTCTTGTCCCGCCCACGCCTTGTCTCTTGAAGTCAGTGACAGTACATCGACAATGGCTCTGCGAAGATCTGGAGGCCAGCTCTGTAAGAGCATTTCACAGGCCAGTTCGCATCGACTTGCGCTACCCCAAATCGCTACTCAGAAGCGATTTCTGGCCACTCCCGTCCATCCTGTCACTCAAGATGCTACTGGATCAAAGGGCCCTACGGCCATGGTCTTCCTCAACATGGGAGGGCCTTCGACGACCGATGAGGTTGGCGACTTTTTGAGCCGCCTTTTTGTAAGTCATTTAACAAAACACCGAGACCCCCGGATCATGTGTATTGACAACCACCACAGGCCGACGGCGATCTAATTCCTCTCGGCCCTCTACAAAACTATCTTGGTCCATTGATTTCGAAGCGGCGAACACCCAAAATCATCAAGCAATACTCTGCCATTGGTGGAGGATCACCAATTAGAAAGTGGTCTGAATACCAAAACGCCGAGATGTGTAAGATCCTGGACAAGATCTCTCCCGAGACTGCGCCTCACAAGCCCTATGTCGCTTTCCGATACGCGGACCCGTTAACCGAAGAAATGTACGAGCAGCTGTTGAAGGACGGCTTTGGAAATGGAAAGGGTGGTCGCGCTGTCGCATTCACACAATATCCTCAGTACTCTTGCTCAACAACAGGTAGTAGCTTGAATGAGCTGTGGAAGTGGAGGCACCGGCTTGAAGGCAAGACCAACAAGGAGTCCGGTGACGGTACCATTACCTGGAGTGTAATCGACCGTTGGCCTAACCACAGTGGATTGGTTGAGGCTTTTGCCCAAAACATCGAGGCCAAGCTTGCGGAATACCCTGAGGAGCGAAGAAAGGATGTTGTGCTGCTCTTCTCTGCGCATAGTCTACCCATGTCTGTCGTTAACCGAGGTTTGTTGCTCAGTCACTTATATTCGTGACAGTCACTAACATGGTCAAGGTGATCCTTACCCTGCTGAAGTTGCGGCCACTGTCTACGCCGTCATGCAGCGCCTCGGTTTCTCCAACCCTTACCGACTGTGCTGGCAGTCTCAGGTCGGCCCGTCGGCCTGGTTGGGACCTCAAACCTCGGACAGTGTAGAGCACTACATATCCAAGGGTCAGAAGGATCTGGTGCTCATCCCCATCGCTTTCACGTCCGACCATATTGAAACTCTATATGAGTTGGATCAGGAAGTCATCGGCGACAGTGGTCACCCCGAAACTGTCAAGCGGGTTGAGTCTCTCAACGGTAGTCCTGTCTTTATCCAAGCTCTCGCCGACATTGCCAAGGCGCACCTGGCAGCAGGTCAGGCTTGCTCGAAGCAGATGGGTCTTCGATGCCCTGGATGTAAGAGCGAGAGATGTGCTGAGTCGAAACGCTTCTTTGCGAGCCAGCAGGCTGGCCTCGCTTAGGATGACTGAGACGATTTGATCATGCTATAAGTTTGAGCCGTCAAAATCTGGGCAGCTCCTCCACCAGTGTACTATACCTTTACTAGAAGCGAAAATGTGGCGTGTATGTTAATTAAAACAGGCATCGAAGGGTTTTGGTGCTCATTTGGCATTTAGAACGGTGTGGGGCTTATAGATACAATATTCTACTCGTAAAAGTAACAGTCTACAGGTCTTGTCTTTTTCTGCCTATCCTTTGTTGTGCTGTGTTATCACATGTGTTAGATCCTCGAATCCTAACATTGGGTGTTAATAACTTTCGTTGGTCAAGTTGAACTGAAGCTAGCTCTCCTACCCTGTACTGATATGTCTGTTAACCACAAGCAACCCTCAAGTCTTACATAACCCTATTGTTGCACCTTGTGTCTTCAAGTCTCTACTTTAAGTAGTCTGGGATAATTTCTGACCTTTACTTTGTGGTCAAATGAGATGTACTTATAGTGTCGAAGGAGAAGAAAGATTGAGCTATAACTCAAATAAACACATGCAAAAGGTGCAGAGAACCACGCCAGTGAACGGCAACATCTCAGCAGATATTTGGCCAGCCTCATTCGGGAACTGCTTCACTCGTAACAGTACGAGAAGCTATGGAGAAGATGCCACTTGTATGCTCTCAGTGACTATGCCTTTATCTGCAGCAGACATAGTTGCAATACTACAGATGTGATAGTTTGAGCTATTGAGTGCTTGGAAGTTATGAATGCAATTATCTGAGTTTAGAGACAGTTGGAATAGACATAGGAGATTATAAATGTAGTGATGTATTATTAAGTTAAACTATATTGCCAGAGGTTCCATGCACTGCTTTATAGTACTGTATGGAATTTTTGTTTAACACGAAACGTTTCACAGGTCGACCCTACATACTTCACATGACTTCTCGTTTGGACTAGGGACATTTGTCCGGAATGTAATTACACGTCGTATACAAAGTACCTCCTTTCCACATCCCTTTATATAAAACCTGAGCTGTACGGGTATATACGCTCGTGTCATACATGCAGAAGAAGGGCATGGAGGTGGTAGCGTGTAGGATTCTCAAAGATTTTCACAAGATACCTATATCAGGTATTACAATTGTTTTACGGGCAGATGCAGTAAACTCTTGCAAAATTATGCAGTCGTACACCTATAGGATTGGCATATCAGCATGCAGAAGCCTGTTGGTTTCACGTATCTGCGCATGGCAGTCCTGTAGAATTCATCGTCACGCCCTTCCGTGAATGACAGAAGTTAGGTTACTGGGGGCAAGCCCAGTATAGTAACTGAAGAGAAGCTAGAACACAGTGAAGGGTAATTGATCCCGGACCCACAGAGGGAACAGCTTGAATGGAACGGATGTTTGATGTTTTGACGAGGAAAGGAAACCAATAAACGAGGAACACAGACGTGGGAGCGGTTGAGGCGCAACCGGACTTGACGGTGAGTGGGCAATATCAAAGTGGCCACGGTACGGATAGGACGAGCAAATAAATAGTTCAAAACATGGTATCCCGTGATCCAATACCAGGCCGGCATTCTGGCCACGAGAGAGAAGGGAGAAGATACCCTGACCTCTTCGGAAACGATTGATCTGCGTATGTCTTGGAATCTGTCTCTGATAAAGTCCAATTGTAAATGTTCTGAGCTATACCGCTAGAAAGCAGCCAATGATAACGAAATGTAAAAATATAATAATACTGTAGATCAAAGACAAATGACACATATGAGAGACTCAAGAAGGAATTGACTCTACTCCGTAACTATCGAACAATTCTTTCGAATAGGAGAGAATAACCCCTATCAATACCCAAGGCAACTTACAGCATGAGAATGATGATCGATACTTGAAGCACAAGCGAGCTAGGAACAGGTACTTAGAGTAGCATTCCCCTTTATAGAAACAACCAGGTACCTCAGGCGAGCTCCAAGCTTGCCTGAGGAATGGACCGATGTAAGGAGGTCCGGCCACATGCATATGTGCATTTGTTAGCCCTCACCGGCAATTCAAATGATGTCAAGCTTCAGACAGAAGCTCTAACTTACCTAGTAGAGGCTGTATCGAGAGTCAATTGTATGGCCGCAGGGCCGCTTACAACATGATACAGGTACGTATATGCCGATAGCCAAGATGCAGTAATTTGCTTGAGGTGAAGCTAGAGCTCTCCCTCCCCAATCTCCCATCTTACCATTCAACGACCCCTGTCCCACGTCGTTAATTGGAGCCGTGCCTTTTGAACCAATCATAAGCGCTGAGGCAGCACCCTTTGAAGTTCGACAGCAGGCTCTCAGCGACCCTATCCGCTAAATCTCCAGAGCCTGCCCCTGGATCATGTAAGTTGGGAGACCCACATGTGCCTCAACTCGGACTAGCTCATCTAAACCCCTTTTGCTACAGCACGGCTGTCTGCCCAAAGGCTGCTCTGCTGGGAGAACAGCACAGCACATCAGAATTTCGTCTCCTTGCTTGGTCCGCTTGTCACCTCCAAAATTTCCCATCCTTCTCCTTCACTTTACTTTCTCTCTTTTTTCCCCTACCCCCCGTTTCTAGCCTCATCATTGCTACTCTTCTCTCGATCGCCTTTTATCGTGCGTGAGAGTAGGTCCCGTGTTGATAAACCCGAGGCCGCCTTCTATTCTTCGTATTCACTCGTTGCGACGCTCATTGACACGCGTCTCCTGGTATTTCCGTGAGTAGCTATCCTCGTCCCACTCCTTACTGCCCGACCACGATTTTGAGAAGGAGCACCCTCGATCGGTTCGATTTCTCTTCGACTGTACACTCATCACCACATTGCGCTTGTTTCCCGGAGATTGTCAGCTGTCGTTTGGCCCTTCTCGTTGCCTCGCTCGAGACAACTCCACCAAGCTCGTGTAGCTACCTATCTAGCTGGCCTTTCCCCTGACGTAGCTAACCACCAACTTTCAACTTAGAAACACGCACTTTCCTACGAGCCTTTTCAACTCGACCGTTCTTGATAATTCAACATGGGTAAGATGATTCTTTCTTTTTATGCACGCGTGTGTCAGACCACATGGCACAAGCGACAAGTAGAGACCACGGAAAGAGCCTCCGAACTCGACCACGAGGATGATTTGTTCTCCGGGAGCTCGATAAAATCTTGACCTTCATCCCGTGCAATCCATCGATTTCCGATAAGCTCGACGACATTCGTTTCTGAATCATCTACAATTTCTTGGGTCTATCTTCTTAGCCCCCTTTTTGGTCCTGACAGCATTCCTCGTTGAGAATCAGCACTTCCAACCCCTGAAATTCGATCATGACATTCGACTTGGTACAGCACGTCAAGGCTCGCACCCGCAGCGTGCATTTCGATAGAAATCTCGCGTTCATGGCAACCACACCTCTCGCCGGATCATCGCCAAAGGTATCGCGGGATTCCAAGCGAACTATTAGTTTTCCATTGAGCCAAGACGATGGAAGCCCATCTTCTCCTTCATCCCCTCGACCCTCGACAGTACGCCACTATCGCAGTATGCTTGACGTGGACATCCAGGATCCGCCGACATTAAGCCCTATGAAGCCAGTGTCATTCGACGAACTATATATCTATTCTGCAACAAGTGGGCCAGCTGAACAGATAACTAATGTGAAGCCCAACCGCGATCATCTCACAGTCGAGGCTTCTACCAAGGGAAATCCTCGCAACACGAGTTCGGATTATTCACCTAGTCAGGCTCCTCCTTGTGTCTCTACATATGACAGCATAATATTCAGTATCAGTGGTTGCAATGAATGCTAACATGTGTCTTAATAGCTTCTCCCGGCAGCGAATCTCCGGCGTTGGCCCCTTCTGCCTCGCCTGCTAACGGTAGGTTTATCTTTTACGTGAATTTCTGTTCTCGTACTGACTGTCGTGTAGTTCCATCTCAGCCACCTCCCCCGGCTGACAACAGAAACATTGTCCGAAGAAAGCTTACTGGCTATGTTGGTTTTGCCAACCTACCTAACCAATGGCACCGAAAGAGTGTTCGTAAGGGATTCAACTTCAACGTGATGGTTGTTGGTATGTACAAGATGATTGAAATGTGAACGATCTTGATTAACACCAATCTAGGTGAGTCTGGCTTGGGCAAGTCTACTCTGGTCAACACTCTGTTCAACACCTCCCTGTACCCCCCCAAGGAGCGCAAGGGACCCAGCCTCGACATTATTCCCAAGACTGTTACTATCCAGTCCATTAGTGCCGACATTGAGGAGGCAGGTGTTCGTCTCCGCCTGACCGTTGTCGATACACCAGGTTTCGGCGATTTCGTCAACAACGACGAGTCCTGGCGCCCTATCGTCGACAACATCGAGCAGCGATTCGACTCTTACTTGGATGCTGAGAACAAGGTTAACCGCATGAACATTGTTGACAACCGTATTCACGCATGTGTCTTCTTTATCCAACCCACCGGCCACTCCCTGAAGCCTCTTGACATTGAGGTCATGCGCCGACTTCATACCAAGGTCAATCTGATCCCCGTCATCGCCAAGGCTGATACTCTTACCGACGAGGAGATTGCTGCCTTCAAGTCACGAGTAAGTTGCTCGATTACCAACTTTTATTCAATTACTAACCAACCAAGATTCTCGCCGATATCAAGCACCATGGCATCCAGATCTTCGAGGGACCTCGATACGAGCTTGATGATGAAGAGACGATCGCCGAGAACAATGAGATCATGTCCAAGGTTCCCTTCGCTGTTGTTGGTGCCAACAACGAGATCACAAGCGCCGATGGTCGCAAGATTCGGGGTCGTGCCTACCCTTGGGGCATCATTGAGGTGGATAACGAGGAGCACTGCGATTTTGTCAAGCTTCGACAAATGCTCATCCGAACACACATGGAGGAGCTCAAGGAGCACACCAACAACCAACTCTACGAGAACTACCGTACCGACAAGCTGCTCGCCATGGGCGTGTCGCAAGACCCCAGCGTTTTCAAGGAGGTCAACCCTGCTGTCAAGCAGGAGGAGGAGCGTGCCCTGCACGAGCAGAAGCTAGCCAAGATGGAGGCCGAGATGAAAATGGTCTTCCAACAGAAGGTGGCAGAGAAGGAGAGCAAGCTCAAGCAATCCGAAGAGGAACTGTACGCCCGCCACAAGGAGATGAAGGAGCAACTCGACCGCCAACGACTGGAGCTCGAGGACAAGAAGCAGCGAGTCGAAAGCGGACGGCCACTAGAGAAGGAAGGCAAGCGAAAGGGATTCTCTCTTCGCTAAACTTCCAGCCTCTTCACGATTTGCGGATTCTTTCACTCCTTCGTTATCCATGTCTGAGTACCCATGATGCCCATACAATACCAGCTCGACGCCCCTCGTTGTATTCGATTCTCGTTTCTTTGTCGCCTCTTTCTCTCACCTTTTTTAATTAAGAAACAAAACATTGTCTCCTAATCACATCACATCACATATGCCACATGGAATGATTGTCGTACGGAGACGGAACAAAAGTCATTTATGAAGATTAGTCATGCAAGACGGGAGATGCAGACTATATGGCTTTGCAGGAGTCTCGGTATGACTTCAAGTTGCAGGCAAGCGTTTTTCTCTGACCATGCTTTGAGTCAAACCAAACCTGAGAACCTGTTGGTCTCACCTCTAATCTGTCACATGAGAATACCTTTTGGAGAGAAGAACAGCAGGGAAACTGGCGAAAGGCGTTTCAATCTGAGCGCTTCTCGTTGGGAGAGACGTTATAGATGCTAATATGTTTTATGCATCTGGTTCGCCATATTCTTTTAGGGTGACATGCTCTCTCCTTGTGCTCTGCCTACATTACCTTGTTGCTCTGCTCACATACTCTGCCTTCGGATACCCCTTTCTTTTCCCTCGGGCTTAATGGTGCCTTGGTCATGGACGATATTAGACAGGGTCAGATGGGCGATGCCAAGGAGGTTGTCGAGCAGCAGCTTGTTGTATTTTAGTCGTACATTTGTTGAGACAAGGATGGTCATTTATGTCTCGACAGATGATATTCCCTAGATGGTGATGCGTCGTCTCTTTGGTTTGTTTCTTAGCTGGCTTGTTTCTTGGTTTCCTTAACATTGTTTTATTTGTCTAGCTTTCTTGTTCCAACACATTTGTCTGTTACGTTAACATGTGAAAATCATCGCGTGGTAAGACATCTAGCAAATTTGTATTACCTCATCGAATGTGACTTTCCAACCGCCGATGTCTTGTCTGTCACCTTAGTGTACAGTGATGGAATTAGGGTGATTGATGATAAACTTATTCAAAGTGGGTTAACGTATGTAATAATGGTCGCTTCATTTTGTAGTGCAAGCATATCTCATAATGTCAAGACTCCAAGAGGGCCCAATCCAGAGGTTATAGTGAAGAGTGAGTAAAGTGTCCCAGAAACCGCCCATGCAATATATGTCCCTACATGTTTTCCTCCCAGCAATATCGTCATCTACCTCTTCCTAGCATTCCTCAGAATAAATGCTCCCACCACACCGGCCGCAACACCAACACCACTCAGAATAGCGACACCCATCAGCCCCTCGCGGGCAACCTTGTCATCGATAAGTTGGCGTAGGTTGGATGCTTGAAGATTGGCAGGCTCCTTGTCAAGAAGGAGGTCGTTGTACCGACGCGCTTCGCCGTAGTTGCCGAGCTTGTAGTTGCCAAGGGCAAGGTAGTAGAGACATTCGCGGCGACGTTCGGGGGAGATGCGGAAGATATCCGAGAGAAGACGCACACCGAGCTGCTGGTCGTTTCGCTGGTTGGACTTGACGAGGCCCTGAGATTTAGTTAGTGTGATGACTCGTAGGCTAAGACGTAGCATGGTTACCCAAGCGTAGTTGAACTTGGTCTGGATGCCAACCATCTCACCCTCGCGCTCATATTGCGTTTTTAGTACATTAAGCTCAGAGGTATTTAGCGGTCTGTCGCCGTCAGTCAGGATAAAGAAATCGTCGTATATTCAAAGCAAAGGACTAACGTCTCGGCATCGAGAGCATCTAGCGAGGCTATCAGTATAAGCTAGAATATCGTCATGCAGTTTAAAACTCACATGGTAGTTCGGTTACCATTCTGAGAGAACAAGTCCTTAAGGGCAAAGAACGTGAAGGTGTGTTCTGTGTAGGAGGAATAGGAGTCTTGGTATCAATTATCTTGGTCAGGATCAAGAGGCTTTCGAGGTGGAATGGCAAACGTAACGTAATAGAGGTTGCACGTGTTATTCAGAGGTAGCTCTTTTCGGCTTCACCTTTGTCTGGCTGTGGCGGGCCCGATGACGCTGTGCGCTTGACGGGGAAAGCTCGGCTAAATAAGGTGGGGGAGAAGTGGTTGCTGATAAGATAAGCTTTGATTGTCGTCGTGACGACGGAAACGTGTTTAGCCCAAAATGGAGTTGCGTTGGCAAAACACTAAGTTTACCATCATCACCGTTCAAGACTGTAGAGGAACTGCGGTTTACAGCTGTCATTGACACAAAATCTTCCACATTTGATTCGAGCACTCGAGATCAGCTGCAAATATGTTGCTCTCCGAAGAACCCGCAACTGTAAGTACTTCCTCCTGTAGCCCCCTCTTGTCTAAGCTAACAAACCCAGCTCATTCATCATACTATCGAAAACTTCAATATCGCACCAGACAAACTTGCCGTCTCCCGTGTTACAGAGTCACTTTCGACTCTCCAACAAGCTCGCGACCTTCGCGTTCGTGAGGCAGAATCCTCACTGAAGAAGCTCTCTCGGCAGCTCGCAACACACACATCGCGACATGACGACCTCGTTGCGTCTCACTCGTCAGCGGATCACGCATCCAACATCGCACGTCTAGACACACTGAAATTTCGTACCGCCAAAGCCGCTGCTGATGCTGAAACCGACGCTGAGCGCCTTGCTCTGACGGCCGCTGACCTCAAGGCTCGTCTTCGCGAGCTGGAGCTTCAGGGCGTGGAGGGCGATGCGGCAGCTAATGCTCGACGCAGAGATCCAGTGGATGATGAGGTGCTGCTGAGGCTCAAGGTGTATCGAAGCCTGGGCATCGATATTGAGAGAGACGACAGGGACGGTGAGTGGTCCAAGGCTGTTATTCGGAATGATCGCAAAGGGGACGTGCATGTTGTCAACATGGACAAGAAGTTCTCGCGATTCTTTTACGCCAACTACTTCTGGCAGACTCTCTAAAAAACAAATCCTTCTTTTTGGTTGGCCAATGTTATCACGATAATGTATTTACGCTGGGTTGGCGTTGGAGGCGTTGCAGATACCAGGAATAGGACATTGCTACCATTTTATCAGTTCAGTATATGAGTAATGGCAGATTGGAATTCGCCCTTGTCATTTTCTTTCAGAAGTCATTGATATCTTGTTTTTGCATCATATATCCAGACAATTGACAAATCCTCGCTCAAACGCCAATGAAAACCCCCGGATTACCATATTCTGTGACACTTTTGGTCCTCGTGCCATTTTCCACCTTAACAACACCTCTTCATTAGATCATTAGAATAGTTTACGCGATAACGCAAAGAGTCTGAGTCAGTCTTACGCATCGACGACACCCTGAGTCGGGAGTTTTTTCAGTCCTTTTGGAGAAGTTTTGAGACTTGGAAAGTAACTGTCAATGAATGACTTGTTTGTAAAAGCGATCCGTGGGCCAGAAGGTGTTCTTGTACGAGAGCTATTAGGAGATGCTAAACGTTTTGCTCCGGGGCTTCGGTTGCGACCCTTCATCATAAGATACCCGCCCTCTCCAGGTGTCGTGGGGCCACCAGATGGGGAACGATGATGATTTCGCCCAAGGTGTTGCTTGTCAGGGAGTTCAAGCCGTGAGTTTATGGTAGTCCATGTTTCATCGTCACCACCCAGACGCCAGCCACCAACCCCTTCGAAGTCTCGCTCTGGACCAATGCTTGGTAGTAAGCCAAGTCCCTTTTCGCTGATTGGAGTAGTAGTGCCTGCCGTGGATAGAGCACTGGAGCTTCTTCTATGTCGACGACGTCGCAAGGAGGACTCAAATGCTGTTGAAACAGCAGAAGGAGGTACAGGATTGGTATAGAGCGCTGCAGGTGCCGGTTCGAGGATTTGATGGTGAGGATGATAAGTATTTGGATGGTAAGGGCGAGTCTTACGTCCACCCAAATAATGAGGAACGAAAGAGAGAGCAACGTCGAGATACACAGCCAGAACTCGGAGGATGAGAACAGAGAAAGCGATTGTAGTTGTGATACCAGCGAAGACAGCAAGAGGAACCGTGACAACAAACAGGAAGGGCACGACGAAGGCATATACAGGGTTGAGGAGTGCCATATTGATGGTGTTACAGAACGAGACTAGCAGCACATGACCACAACAGCTTCGAGAAGTGCTGTCTGTACAGAGGCGTGGAGGTTGTCGACGGTATAATTAGTGGTTACAGATGGAAGCACGGGCTATAAGGAGAAAGAAGATGTGGAAATAAAAGTATAAGAAGGAAGGGGGAAAAGAAAGAGAACCGAGAGGAGGGCGACTAGTTGGTGTAGAGTACCGATATGTACATAGAATGGATGGATGCTGCTCTAGGACGAGAGATGCGTCGACATCCCCCAAAGCCGTGATAGGATAGATTGTTTCCGGGGAGCTAGAAACGATGCGCCGCGGAGGGATTAGGTGCTTGAGCCGGCGAGAATGTAGCGTCGGTGTACGGCGAATGTGACTCTACAGGGTAGCATCGAGCTGTAGCTGAAGCAAAGTAGAAGCCGTAATTTTATGTATCTCGGGAGATGGGAAGAAAGGAGAAGACTACCTAAAGGTAAAGGAAAACGACGGAGGTCTAAGGTGAGGAGGATTACACTTGGAGGAGGCAATCACATGTGAATGGTGGCTCGCCTTGGCCTGGCTTGGCTTAGGTCGGTTTGCATGCCGCACTTGCCCATTTTTATGGTGTCTGAAGTGACTGTCGTACGGCAACGCGACAAGCCACAGGGAAGGTTCGTGCGGGGAACCTGCACCGGGGAGAGATGCAAGTGATAGTAAACGGTAGGAGGAAGCTTCATGTTGGCAGAAGGAGGGTCAATGATACCTACCAAACTGTACAGATTAAAGCAACGTCAGTGGTGGAATGCAACGATAAGGCATGATTGCACATCATGACGAGTCTTTCAATGCACTTGCAGTATCAAATCCCTATCACAATGCTGATATCCGTATCAATAAACTGACTGACTGCATTGAACTTCCGAGTATTTGCGCCCAGCGAAGATCGACCGTAACACAAAAGGACCCTGGAATCGGTGGTTGCGCTAAAAACTGTCCGGACAGCAACTTACAGCCACTGAAGCACATCGGTAACCAACATCAACCACACACGTCACATGAGTGATTACAAGCCGAGGCAGACGAAATCTATTCACGAACAAGAAGCTCAACCTCCTATATCCACCGCATGAAAACAAATTGCCCCAGATTAACTGAATGCTTATGGGATATGTTCGTACTGTATCGACCGATCTCATCATAAGTTAACCCCACTTGGAGCCTCGATAATGCCTGTCCCCATCATGATCCACATCAGCTTCCCCCGCTGACATCACTCAAACTTGTCTTTCAAAGCCTCAAGCCTCAAGCCTCAAGCCTTCCAGACCTCGGCCGTTGAGGGTGACAACCTCGTGTGCTTCTGTGGACGTAAACTTCCATCATCTGCAGTGCTAAATAAACCCCACTATCTCGACACCACTGTGACACTGATATCAACACCAACATGTGTCAAAACACCCACACCCACAACCATGAAGAGTCTCAGCAGTCCAAGCCAGAGCTTGCAGGGGACCAACCTCCATTCCCCTGGCATCTGCCAATATGCGACGCCCACTGCCATCCAACAGACACAATGGCTTCAATAACCGATATACCCTCTATGCATGCAGCAGCTTTGACCATCATGGCAACACGTGCCCAGGACCAGGAGCTCGTTGCGGATGTCGCTAGCAAACATTCCAATCCTGATCTCAAATCACTTTTGCAAAAAAACTCGGAATCAACAGGGACCTGTGCTATTCCCTCCTTTGGCTGGCATCCATGGTTTTCCCATCTACTCTACGACGACTCGGCCCACACTCCGACATTTCAGCCCACCTCCGGGTCCGAGACTGACAATGCCGCCAAACAAGCGCATTACAATGCCGTTCTACAGCCAGAGCCCTCACCAGACTTTGTTGCTTCTCTTCCTTGCCCTATCGCTATAAGCTCGTTTCTCAATGCAACCGAATCCCGTCTCTCCGCTAACCCTCGCGCTCTGGTTGGTGAGATCGGCCTTGATAAGGCTTTTCGTCTACCAGAACCTTGGCTGACATCGAAACATGTCGAGAGAGATTTGACACTCACGCCAGGGGGTCGTGAGGGCCGACAGCTCAGCCCTTATAGGGTGAAAATAGAGCACCAGCGTGATGTTCTCGCCGCACAGCTTCGTCTTGCTGCAAAAACTGGCAGAGCTGTCAGTGTGCATGGGGTGCAAGCTCATGGCGTCTTGTATGAGACGCTTGCGGCAACGTGGAAGGGCCATGAGCGGGAGGTTATAACACGACGAAAGCGGCGTCTTGTGGCATCGGGTGCGGAGGACTTTTCAGACGAGGACGACGATGGCAGTGAGAAGCCGTACCCTCCTCGAATATGCCTACATTCATTCAGTGCTAGTGTCGAAGTATTGAGGCAGTATCTGAACCGAACGATTCCAGCTCGTATATTTGTCTCGCTGTCTACAGCTGTCAATTTAAGCACTGATGCTAGCCGAAATAAGACTGATGATATACTACGGGCCCTGCCTGACGACAGCGTCCTGGTGGAGAGTGATCTTCACATTGCCGGCGAACAAATGGACAGTGCATTGGAAGACATGTACCGACATGTCTGTGAGGTAAAGGGCTGGAATCTTGATGAAGGCGTCAAGAAAATTGCCAAGAATTACGAAGAGTTCATATTCGGGTGATAGACAAGAGCATGCGTGGATAAGCACAAGGACAAGAGTATTATAGAGGTGTACGTTTCAAGTTGTGGTATTAGATTGCTATAGCTTCTATTGAGCGAGAGCGTTTGCTGTTTGTAAATACAATCCCCAATATCCCACATCTGATGCGCATAAATTCAAAATAAGGAAATCTGGTGTATCATAGTAATATGCAAAGGAAATCATTCATGCCCAAGGTCATTGAGTCTAATTTAGTTCTTAGTATCCCCCAGGACATCGCTGGCATTGGACCCCGAGTTTGAAGGGGTATAATCGGAGCTGCCAGGAGTGTATCGGCATCCATCTGCTACAACCGACGAATCACGCTCATCGTCGTCGTAGGCAGGAAGGTTTTCATCCGTCTCCATGAACCCGGGGTATACTGTGGCAACAGTGTGGTGGGAAGTAGGGGGAGGAACAGGGGGGCCGGCAGCGTAGCTGTAAGAACGAGCATGGCTGTGCTGGCCCTCCTCAGCAGCGACAATGCCCTCAACCATTTGAGCAGCCTCACGGAAGGAAGCAATCTCCTCTTCCATGGTAACGCTGCTGCAGGAAGATGATCGTCGGCGTCGCTCACCGTTAAGCATAGCCTCCTTCTCATCATCCTCATTCTCGATCCATCGGGTAACAAAGGCACGGTAAGCAGCCTTCAGAGCAGAGTTCTTACGACGCTCGTCGCGAGTTTGGCGGAATGCCCGGCGGATAGCACGACGAGCCTCGGGGCTGAGACGCGCTACACGGCGGTGAATGTAGGCGATGGCAATAGCACAGAAAAGAGCGAGAGCAATGGTCACGATTCCAAGGATGACAATAATGGGATGGTGAGGAGGCTGAAGAGTAATTAGCGGGACGAATTCAATTTCTGGTTGAGGCATTAAACTTACAGGTGGAGGGTGGTGGCCTTCATGATCCTTAGCACCGAAACCACCGTGACCATGCTCAGGCCTGTCATGATGAGGCTTACCCCGGTGGTGAGGAGGAGGTGGTGGTGGAGGAGGAGGAGGAGGAGGGTTTCCGTGATGAGGATCGCAGGGGCAAGGAGCGCACATAGGAGGGGGAGGGTGACCTCCAGGGAAGGGGAAGGGAGGGTGACCATGATGAGGAGGCGGCGGCGGGGGATGAGGAGGATGAGGGCCCCGGTGAGTACCGTTTCCATGATGAGGGCCATGATGAGGACCATGCGGGCCGTGAGGAGGTGGGTGATGTCCAAATATGCTATCGTAGAATCTGTGAGCCGAGTGTCGCACCTCCTCACCAACAGTGTGTAGAACACACTGCACGCCATCGCACTGCTTGATCTTCTTCATAGTCGAGGGGGGTGGAGGAGGATACTGCTTGCCCAGCTTCTTAGCAACAGATGCCTCCCTCTCCTTCACCAGTTCCTCAAGCTGAAGAATCTGCTTGTGCAAAGCATTCAGTTCCATAAGTTCAACCTGAAGTTCCTCCTCGGGGTCCTGGAAATCGCGGTCGGGATACTCCCAGATGGGGGGTGATGTAGAGGTGGATTTGTCGTCAGAGGATGACTCCTTGTCCTTGCTGAAAGGCATTGACAGACTCCAGACATATGCGGCGTTTCCAACATCGGAGATTCGGACTGGTGCGGTTTGCTTGAAAGTCATCCAGAAGGAAGACTCCTCTGTAAGAGCCATATCGTCGAGAGCCTTGACATTGAAGCGCATAGACTGGCCGAAGGGAAACTCTTTGGGGCCGATGCATTCGAAATCCCAGTCTGCTGAAATAGTGGTCTCATTGTTGATGAGGAAAGATCCGACACCGCGACCCTTGGCGTCTTGCTTGAGAGGTTCGCCATTGAGGGTGATGCTGGCGGGACCACAAACTTCTTCTGATTCCTCCACATCAAATCGTAGTGTCTATTATATGTTAGTTCATGGCATTTTAATCAAGTCTCGAAGACGGACCAGAGGATAGGATTCGGATTCGCTCAAGGGGAGCTTGACTGTGACGAAGGCTGAGGGCGTGACATCGAGAGCTGAGGGAAGAAATCCCATGGGAGGAGGTGGCGGAGGCGGAGGAGGAGGATGGTGAGGTCCATGAGCTAACACCAACGTCGGTGCTAGCACCATGGCAGCCTGAGCAAGGCCGCGCATAGTGAGGTACGAAGGTCGAAAATCTCTCTTGTTAGGTAGGTATCGTAGGACACTGAGCAGTATCAACTGCAAAAACCCCTCTTACACGACAGAGCAGGGGATGTAACGCAGGCAGCCACGCTACAAAGAAGCTTAAGGCAGAATGATACGAAAATGAGACAAGGAGGGAAAGTGTCGTTAATTCAATGAACAGGAAAAAAGAATTAAGAGCAAATGCGAGACGAGCAGAGTCGAGGTGATGACATGCCCGTGGAAATGAGAGCGAAAAAGCCCACGCGACTAGACGGGATGTGGGAGCCTGGCCACGCGGATGCCTCCCAAAACAGGCCCTGTAATGGCCCTGTAGCGCACGACGGCTTAGGCACTGAAACAGCCCTGGAGCCCTGTTGAGTCTAGCCTGGCTGACGGCCTTATCTTGAAAGGGTCGGGCGACGCAATCAATCAACCCACACTTTAAGCCAGTGGCCAATCATTAGCCATGAGCTGACGAGTCCATCCTTCAGCCCCCGGCCGAGTCTTTGGTGTCGTGAGTGGGGCATAACGGCATCGGCAATTCCTTGCCTCGATTGTCTTGGCGATATTTGAATATGGCAATGCCTTCAATATTTTCAAGACACCCAATAAATTATTACCATGATGTTTCCTTCCCCTTGCTTGTTGTCACTGACAACTTGAATAGTTCATTCATCAGACATATATCCCAAGAAATTCAAACAAACACAACAGCAGTGCACAGCGAAGAAGCACTACAATACTCTCTTTAGTAATATATTGTGTTAAGATCTATTTATCTTCCAGCATGTATTCAAGACTCGCAGCTTGAACATCGAACAATATGGCCTTCGGTATGTACATGCCTTGCTAGATATTTGCTGACGTACTAGACCAATGCTACCCCTGAATATGCTTCACGTCTCTCATTCAGTCATCAACCAGAACACTTTTATACAAACAGGCCACTGCCTCGTTCATACCAGAAAGTCACTCAAAACCTGCACTCGAGTCCTCGCTACCTCAGAGTCTTCGCCCATAACCTGCATGATCTGGATCATGCGTGCTGTTGACATGTTAGCAGGGAGACCTGGAACAACAAAGGCATCAAGACTCACTGATATCAGCTTTTGCCCTGACAAGGAGAGGATCCCTTGCCATCATATCTGCACCACCTGGTTCTCGAGCAGCCTCCTTCAGGACATTTCCGATACACAGCGCCTCCAAGAAAGCTCGGTGATTGAAAACCCACCAAACACGTGCTTCTATCTCAAGAAGGGTGAAAAGAAGGAAGAAAGCTGTAATGGCGTCGTGCGCTGCCTCCAATGTACCACGAACATTGACGGGAACATCAGGGCTCTCGGAAGCATGGACAAGCATCAAGTTATGGAAGTAGTTACTCGTCAAGAACAGCGTCTGGCGAACCACCCTCTTATTCGTTTTTGCGAGCGCCGTGATACTATCAGGATCCCAAGACCGGAATACATCAGGGAACGAACGGTAAACAGCTCGGAAGTCAGCAATCAGCTTGGACTTATGCCTTGCCGTAGTGCAGATTGGTAGGTCTAATGATCTTGGCGAGCAAATCGTCTCCTGTACCAAGTTGGCCAAAGTCCAAGAGCCTCGGATATATGCCGTATCTGTTGGGTCGCTATTTGCAATCGAGGAGCCATCGTCGAGTAGGTCTTCGACGGAAACATCTGTATGTGTGGCAGACGGTGGCAGGGAGAGTAAGACGGTCAAGAAAGTATCTTGGAGAAGTACTGCTTGCCAGACCTTACGCCGCTGCTGCTTTTCGAACAGGGTGGCATTTGGAGTCACTGAAAGAAATCAGTATAAGAAAAGAGCAAGTAAAGAAAACAGTCACCCACCAATATTTGGATCTCTATGAAGACCCATAGCATAAGCTTGCCGAATGAGAATACCTGCAAATGCCCATCCATCTGAGGCATGGTTGTCGTTGATAAGGAAGTAAACTAGCAATACCATAGCCTGAATTGACCTTAACGATGCACTGCTAAGATATGATGCGATACGGAGAGCTTGGTTGCTAGCCGAAGCATAGAACTCTGCTGTCTGCCTTCGCTCCTGTGGGGATGTAGTCGATGTTACAAATTGAGTTCCCAGGGCCAGCATGACAAAAATCAATGCAATGAAGGACGGATCTGTGTCGGTCTTTTCTTGCTGATTCATCTGCCAGAAGTGTTCGTAGTCCGCATAGAATGTCTGCCGATGTATCATGGGATACACGGGGTCAACGCATTCGAAGTATCGGCTAAGTAGTATATCGGCTTGAATCTTGTCTGGAAGCACTGAGATAACCTCAGGCAAGCCCCCTTCACAGGTCCAGTAGTTGGCAAATGGGTGCTCAGACCCGATGCCAAAAACATTACTGGCAGAAGGCAAGGAATAGGGGACGTTGGACAGAAGGCCGATGGAGAGGGCAACAGCGCCACGCGAGGTTGCCCTGGGATCATTCGACATACCCCTATCTGCGATATTTGGAATGGGGGACTTTCCGCTAGAACCAGACTTCTTCTTTGGAGGTTTCGTCATACGGCGGCCATTGGCGGCCGACCTGGTGGTCTCCCTACTTGATTGTTAAACCAGGACATAAAGTTACTCAGTCGGGAGGCTTCATACTCGAGAAGGTTTGCGACATGGGCATACCGGCATTCAGTCTGTCGTTTTATGCCTAGCTAAAAGTTAGTATAGAACCAGCAAACCAAGATCCAGGTGCACGTACACGCGAGGCAATGAGGTCGACCTCTGTCACACTTTGAATAATGTTAGTAATTAAAGTCACTCTCACACAACAGAAGGAAAGGAGCGGGATTGATTGGGCATTTTCAGACGACCCGGGATCATCAAATTCCATACTGAGCCATAATGTCGGGGTAAAGTGGGCTCATCTCATATGGGGAACATGTGTAGAGATGAGTTAGATGATATGCAGACAGCACGACACAACATGAGAAAATGTATTGGATAGAAATGTCGCACCTTGGTCTTGCGCTCTACGCATTCATGGCATGAAAGAGTTGGTTTGTTGCGCTTTTGCTTCTTCTTTGGAGGTTCCTCTCCATCCACAGGTGTCGACGCGTCTTGGTCATCCGCGTCAGGGAGATAATCGCCAGTAGGATGCCTTGATGTCGTCGAAGCTGATGCTGAAGGTAAACGGTGGGAGATGGATGCAGGGGACGTTGAGGCCGATCCTGGTGTCAAAGCCGAGGATGGTGGGTGAGTTCCGGGAAGAGGGAGAGTTGGATGTGAGGCGACGGGACCAGGACTATACGTAGACGTAGAATGTTGAGGCGGCAGATGCGAGGGCGAAGGATTTGAGAGAGATGGTGGTGGTTGGTGATGAGTGTGACGCGGAAGCGCCCGCTGTGATAGATCCATTGACGATGATACAAAGCTCACCAAAATATTCGGTCCAGTGGATGAGCGCCTTTTTTGAGGATATTACAGGCGCGTCAATCAGACGTTGCAGAGTGGGAGCTGGATCTGAAGGAAAATGGGGCTGAGATCTGGGATTTACCTGGACCGAAAAGAAGTTCGATTGGATCCAGAGCTGGAGCTGGAGCTGGGACTGGAGCTTTAGCTATTGCTGGAGCTGGAGCTCTGATAGCTCTGGGCTGGGGATAACTTTAGGTTTAGGTGGAAGACCCCGGGAATAATGACTGGAATCTGAGCTGATACGGGTTGCTGATTTAAACTGACGTGGGAATGATTTTATGTCGCCGGAACTCGGCTGCTGGCAGTGGGCGGCGCTGGAAATAACGGCCGGATATGGGCAGCCGCGGCAGGGCAGCGGCAGCGGTAGCGGCAGTAGCTGGGGTAGAGCGACCAGACGGCAGAGAGTTTGTTAGCCCTGGGCAATATAAAAGCATTAGAGCATTCGTAACGGTAGGTAGATAACGAGTGATAATGACGGTTGGCGGCAGCAGTCACTGACGGGTATAGTGAGAGCAGGCACTGTATTCGCGTCGGTAGGGCCAGAGCGTAAAAGAGCCTCTTAAAGTGCAGTGTCAATCCAAGGGAATAACAAGGTCGAAATGGAACCGAAAAAAAAGAGAGAGAGACCCCGGAAAAGAAAAGGGAATTGCGAAATGGGACAGTAGAGGAAAAAGAGTCAAAATAAGAGGAGTGATGCCCTGGGCGTGGGCAAAAAAAGGCGGGGGCGGAGCAAGTAACAAAGTGGGAATGGCAACAGCACTCTAGAAAGTGCGTTTTTACTAGTACTGTAGGTACCTTTCCACCTGGAGACCCCTAACTTACCATGCCTCTAATGGCAGTTGTATGCGTTAGGTACGGATTTTGCGCCCGCTGGCGCGTGGTTTTTTGTCTTCCGTACCTGCCCAAGATCAAGGGTAATAACAAATTTCATCCATCCATCTCAGAAATCGCGGCTGTTTTTCTTCATCTTACGGAGGTACATGTATCTTTTTCGCGTACACCCGTCTGATCGATGTTAGACCCTTCTAGGGGTATCCATGCGTTCTACGACTCAGGCCACACTTACTCAGACGACGCCCTACACATTGTCAAAGTGAAGACTATCACGAACTACCAGACTACGGATACCTTACCTACGGATAGTTACCGAATCTTGACTTGGCTTCATTTCGTTGTCCTTGCTGGCTTCTTGCACATAAGTAGTTAAGACTCTGTAAGACTCTGGCGTTCTTCCGACCACACTCGATCGCCAAGAGCAACCACCATTGGACGCCAGATCTATAACTATCGATACAAATCGAAATCACTTCTGACAGGTGCAAATGATTGCAGCAAATTGTTGACGCCCAATTAGTGCGAATGAGAAACTACCGAACTCCCCTAATGCAACTAGCCCGCAGCCATGTTCCGTCGAAACCTATTCCTAGACTCCGTTCATTACTCGATACAAAGGGGTAAATAACATCAGACTATGATTCCAGATTTCCTTCATTCTCTGACATGTCCGTCTGATCTACTTGGTCTCTCCCACCTCGCTTCGAAACAAGAATTGGCCATCCCACTCTTCAAGCGAGGCCTTTCACTTTCAGCCTCCTTTTTCCACTCTAGGCTCGGTCAGGTACCCCTTCAAGTGGTACTCCGTGACTATCAAGAGCTAAACGGTGCACGGATCGACCGAGGACTCCGTCTACGGTTGAAGGCCTCGTCAACAAGTGCCGACTCGGTCAGCTAGTACGGACATCGTCGCTCGATTCGCAGACTTGACACAAAAAGTGTGCAGATCGGTATATGGAACCCACCAACATATTCCCATGTTTTATTCCAACCTCTGTTTGGGGACATCGCCAAATGTCACCATTGGATTTTGAGCGACCCTTGGGGAATTAACATGCAATATGGCTGGCCCAGGCCCAGGGTCTTTTTTAGCTAAAAGCTCCATGACCAAGTTCTGATCATCTCCACTTCGCTGAGCGCCGTTCTAGCCTTGACTTACTGAGATAATTCAAAATATCTCACTGTGAGACATACATGCAGGCTTGGTCGAAATGCCATGCCAGAGCAGAAATACGGTAATTTGAACATGGGCGAGTGTCTGCGCACTTAGTGCAACCGAAGGAGTCTACCATGCTTCGAGGCCGTTGCTATCTCAGAAGAATTCGTTTGAAACTTCTCACATCAGCTCATATATCACCCCAGCGGATTGGCCGGTACTTGAAAAGCGACGCTGATTAAATTGCAACGCAGAAACTTGGAGTTAGAGGACAGGCCGAGAAACCATGTTAAGGTTGGGTAGTTCTGAATGGGCCGCATCAGAAAACGATCATCGCAGAAGCAAGACCAACCCGATCCCAACAGTCCGGCACCCTGGTAAAGTCGGGCGCCAGCGGCTTTGGTTCAAAGCCAAGTCTTCTGGTCGACCGCCTTGAGGAAATACATCGCTCCGACAAGTCCTAGTCGATCTCCGTGCCTGAGACGAGCATCTCCAGTTTTCTCCGCTAAACCTGACCTACCAGAGCTGCCGGACAAATCCCAGTCGTTGATAGTCAAACTCAATATCAACTGCGCCCCTGTTAACGGAAACGGAACGGAACACATGAACACTTCCTTGGTCTTCCCTTTCTTGTATGCCGCGTTCCATCAAATCCCTACTCTCAACTCTAAATCTCCCTTGGACTCTTCTCGCCGGCTCATGACGTCTTGTCTGAACACCAAGAATGTAGCGGCAGTTGGCAGTTGCGCTACTGTGCATCAACTTACGTACGAGGTAAGCTTCGAGAAAGAATGAGAGAAGCGATGTCGATCATTTTCTTTTCTTTTCTTCTCAATCGGAGTCCTCCGAAGCACTACCCTTCCTGCCTTCTTCTCCCAACACACCAACCACGAGACAATGGTGGCCAAATTTACGTGTGGGAAAATGTTAAGAAGCGCCATTTTTGTTGGTTGATCACCACCCCCCAACTCATTCAAGATTATCTCCCTACATTACGATAGCGACGACGGCAATTCGTAGTTTCGTAACAGGCCCCTGTTCGCGTCACCAACTTCCGCTGGTATTGCCGCTCCCTCCCACCAGCCTTCGTTGCTAGCCTCCCTAGGGCCCCGGACCCCGGACGGTCTAGAACATTCAGAGAGAACTTCGTTGACCAATCCGAGGCGGAACTCATGACGTACGCAATGTCCTTTTTTGTATTGGACGGAATACCCTGCGGCAAGTGACAACGTTCTTTGCCAACATTGGCTCTTAACTTTGCGCGGCCACCTCGTCATATTCTTTGCGAAGCTTGCATATGGCGATATCTCTTTTTGTAGTCATTAGAGCTGCTGAACCCTGACCGGATGCATCCCCTGGAATGTCAACAGTTGTTGAACAATTGTGATGAGCATCTGTGCTAACGAGTTCGCAGGCTAATTAGTCATAAACTGCAGGATCAGACAAGGTCAGGCGAGCCTAGCGGAGTCATGAGTGGTCGTCAAGTGTATTTTCCATGACTAGTTGTCAACTTCATGATGCAAATCACCAGTGTGTTACGTTGCAACGAGAAAGACCAAGCTTAACACTATAAAACCTAAATGGTGATACTACGGGTTTATAAAACGATCGTAAGAGTACGACCCGAGGGCGGAAATATTCTGGATATGTGGGTGGATCATTGTTGGCTCAGCCCTGGGTACCTAGACCATTGTAAATGTCATGAATCCTGTGATGGCTCACTCGTATCGCTACCCTGTACCCGATGTTTGACATGGGAATTGGCTTGAGACAGGCGTCATACCGTTGGCAATCCGGCAGTCGACTCTTTGGCATATGCTCCGTTCAACTGTTGTCGTAATGACTCATAGATCGATATACCGATGATTGACCTATGATGCCGTATGTTGAAGTGGGGTTTGACGACCTCAACATTACCTACCAGGTTCGCTCACAACAACATCACGACAGTCAAGTGCAGCAACAAGGTTCCCGTAACGTCTCACAACTCTCAATGCCAATGAGGCCTGTAGCTCGACCTACCCAGCGAACAACCCAGATTCTCAACCACCTTCAACACACAATGTCGGCACATCACCCGACACCAGCAGCGCCATGGCGCTCAGCTTTTCTATCCCACGTTGACAAAATGGAATCTCCAACTTTCGTGCTCAGCACCCTCCATCACCGTGGCTCTTCAGTCACTCCTCGTTCACGTACCGTCGTGTATCGAGGCACGTGGGCCGAGATTCCCGTCAACCCCAAGAACCAGGCACCTCTCAACCCCTCCCTCTACGAGAGTGACCTTCTCACCATCACCACTGACGCTCGGATGGAAAAAGTTCCTGAACTATCAACTGATGGAGAGGGTATCCCACAGTCTGGCGGCGGCGGACCTGTCGAAGCGGTCTTCTGGGTCGTGGAGACCAAGACTCAGTGGCGTCTACGTGGCCGCGCCTATCTTCTTGGCCAAGATATCGATCATCCATCAGCCTCACACGTCAGGCAAGAGATAGAAAAGCATATGCGACTCAAAAGCAATGACGACTCGGGTTGCTGGAACTGGGGTAAAGAGATTACTGCCCATTTTGGAAACTTGAGTCCTGGCATGCGAGGGTCTTTCCGAAATCCTCCCCCGGCTACAAAGCGAGATGAAAAGCCTGCCCCTGGATTTGGACTTGGGCAGAAGGTCGAAGATCTAGACGACGAGATTGCAAGGAAGAACTTCCGTGTTGTGGTGATTGTGCCGGAGGAGGTGGACCAGGTTGATCTAAGTGACCCCGAAGATGGCAGGAGATGGAATTACCAGTTGAAGGATGGTTCCTGGGAGAAGACTGAGCTGTGGCCTTGAATCTGCTGATGAGCAGAGATACTCTTGGGCTGTCATATACGAAGGTCGTCAGAAACTATCCCACATGGAGACCTGATTGACCCGGCCAACGATATGTGAGTTGGAGGGGCCAATACTCACCAGTCTTCCGTGAACTGTTACTATGAGCCAGAACTATACCAAGACCCATAAAACGAGCCCTCGAGTTCTCCATGTTTACAATGTAATCGTCGAAAGAGGTAGGTAGTTAGTTAGCCATGCGACTGAGCGTTCTGTGATATAGTGGGATGATACATTGAGCTATGTCGTTTATAACCCGGATAATACTAGAGAGTAAAAGGTTCCAAGAAGTTGTAAACTAAGGTTGCATGTTCTTAATTTGTCCTGACGGTCATAGTTTTCAGCCCAAGTCAGGCGGCTGTCTTCGTGTAGTAGCGTCGAAGTCGAGAAACACTGGTTCACCGAAGTAGCAATCGACTGAGTCCTGACACCTAGTACAGTCATTAGAGCAGAGGGATAGAGTGTATGCCTTGGTACTGTATTCTACGTTCCTCATTAGATCCAAGAACAAGCTTTTGTTGAGCATTAGACAGGCGAATGAATTGACGCGATCAAATCATCCAACGACTGCTTTACTGTCTATACGGCACAAAAAAGCTCAAGAGAAGCAGAACAAATCAATATATACATCGGATTAGCCAGGACTACGGTGCGATATAACTCAAGCAGTCCTTGTGTGTATCGCATCATTGGGGCGACGAGGTTGCTACTGGGCCTGTTCGTGAGATTGGATAGGGGGTCTTGCTATTTTCAAGTACCTACAACATGTAGTAGACGATCAAAGACCACAAGGAATGAGTCATTGTTGATAGTTTGTGTCTGTTGTATTGAGGAACAACTGCTAATGCGGCGGCAGTATCCCAAGGCGTACCTAGGACCTCCTCTTCGCCTTGTCTGAATTCGGGAAAATTCACATTCTACCAGTGGAACAACTCAAAGATAGACCAAAATACAAGGAATCGAAATGTAAATGTTTCACCGACAACCTGTGATTGTTTACGTTCCTTACCTACACCTTATCAGGGCAAACACGGAGTGTGTAAGTTAAATACGACTGACACCCGCATTCACACTCGATGATACAGTTCTGTAACCTTAGAAACATGAACCAAGCTCTTGGTATAGACTTGATCCAGTCCTTTGTTCTCAAATTCCTACCAGGAGTCGTAGATATTTAACTCATCATCTCCTTATGTTCATTGACCAGATGGGTTCAGAACCAGACAACAGTTGTGAAAACACCACTCTAACCTCGAAATGTTTAGTTGCAATTTGTATATATGTATCATAGCTACGTTAAAGCTTAGACACAGCTCACCAGAGGGGGCGATCATGATGTAGACTCGTGATATATCTGCTTTGCACCAAGGCTAAGCCAGCAATCTCAAGACTGGGACTCTGAATGTGAGACTTCGGATATGTGATAGCACTGGCAATATCAAGTGAGTTACTAGCCTTATTCGCCCGATGATTTGTACGTAGATGCGCTCGTAAACATTGCCTCGTTGACATCGATCGCCTTTCTCAGTCTCGACTGTGGTTTTCCTGAACCAGGACCTCAATTCGTATTACACAGCCCTGTAATCCGTGTGAGACATCCTGAGGTCAAAGCATAAGACCAGTCATTATCGTGTCATAATATTACAACGTCAATTGCATACTGCCCAGCAATTTCCGTAACATCAACATTGCACGAGCACGTCAGCAATTCTGCGAAGAATACACCCAAAACCGTGCTCAGACACGGATTTCCTATTATGAAGGATTATACGCCAAGGGCTTCAAAACTGGTGCCTAGTTCAACGAGTAACATATGCACGTAAGGATCGCCGGTACAAACCTGTGTCAGAATACTTGATGGGAATTACTCCACCAGCAGGAAGACAACACGAGACCCGTAAGATCAAAGATCTGCGATCCGATCAACCGAGTTTATCTAGTAATTTACGGGTAGTCGCCGCCGTAATACCCGTCAAGGACCGGACTGCTACCCAAGGTTATGCGGAACGAGATATTACGCATCACCTTCAACTCTCTATCCGAAATGGAAATGTTTATACGAACGATGCGGTGAAGGGAAGTGCCCATGCAGCCGTTCATACATATCAGTCGAACATGCAAGGCAGATGCATGGCCAAGGTAAGTCAGCATGTCTGATCTTGATTTTCCTCAAGCATCAAGCAACGGGTGTTGTCGCGATTGGGGGCTGTAATGAAAGAGGTTGGGGACGGGAGTGACTGTTCTAGAAAGATGCATAATGCAATCTATCATAAATTTCTGATGAGCTTTCTCACTGGTCGTTGACTCGTCTATAGGCGCTCACGGAAGCATGTCTCAGTTGTTTCGATTTCATTTCCGCTGTGTCTTGCTGAGAATAGATACGACGGATATTGTTCTGTATGTGGAACGGACCTCATATAGTTTCTCATGCATCAGTATCAAGCAGTCAGTGCAGCATTGGCGGTTCAAGTATGCAACTTGGCGAGACTGCAACTCTCAGATTGTAATTCCGCATCGAGTTCCGCATCTGTGAAAGTGCGTGTTTCAACCCCTGTGCATCACAACAGAAGTACTCCGTCAAATTGCGGGAGAGGCTGGGGGAGCTACGGGGTATTATTCCAGCTAGTAACATGAGTGTGTCCAATTGACACTCTGTCAATACAACTCGCAACCACAAATAGAGACACCTCCGATCCTTGAACTGCACATCTTGCTCACGGCGATTTCTTGTTTCGAGCAAGTTTCGTAGAGTCGGTCCGCCTCCGTTGGCGAAGGAGTTTTGCTTGAGTGTAACCTCCGAATATGCACAGCAGGACAAGGGTTACAGATGCAAGCCAAGCTTTGGAGGAGGCGGCCCGCACTTGGTTGGGCGCTTACACGACTTGAACTGCGTAAGGCTAGAGTGAGGGTGAGGGTTAGGCGAGTCCCTATATCGTATTATGGTGCGCAAAGACACATGCGAAACGTTAAATAGTCTTCAAGCATGGTGGCCCCGTGAAAGATCTGTTGTAAGTGGTATTAGCAGACATGCGCGTAAATCTCCATCTGTCAAGCCGAGGCATGACATGACACGATAGCTGACAAGATTCAACCATCTTGGCCTAATAAGTCAACGAGTTTGTGTGACCAGTGAGTTTGCAATCACCATGTGTATATAGGTAAGCGGAGGGTTTCACCCCCTCAGTCAGGCCACGCCCACGCTAATGGGCGGGTAACACGCGGGATCGATCCGGGGAGGATGAGATTTTCCTGTAAGGGTTTAGCATCTGACGATGGCCGATGGTTCGGCGAACTTTCCTGTAAGGCATGACAACCCGAGGAAACCCTTAGAAGTAAAGCTGTCGAAAGCTCGATACGGAACAAACTGGGGTCGAAGAGCGAGGCTCAAAACAGAGCTTGAACTTAACTACCGAGGTGTTCTGTGTGCCTGTGATCACTGTAGCGCTGACATATGAGTCCTCAGAATCAGATGGTGTTGAGTAGCAGTGCGTTGTAAGATTGTATGTCGGCACTTTCATACGGCAATGAAAGATTGTATGTGCCTCTTCGACACATCATCATCAAACTCATATAGGCTGTAAGTGTATTGACTTATTCAAATATGATAGTAAGCTGTTTCAATTAGTGTGCTGAGTGATCGATATCGTAACCACAGCCCCCACTAACATCTGCCGAATACTCTATTGCCCGAGCCTCAACATACATCGAGCGGCCGCCCTGGGACCTTACCCTGCTAATGCACCGAAACCCATACGCCGCTCACGATGACCTTGACCAGGAAAGAGTCATCTGTCAATGCCTTCAGAGTTTCTACTACTAGTAGGGATGACTTTGTAGACAATTTCCCAGGGCTATGAGGCGGTAACCTTTGTTGTCTTCAGTTCCGAGTATGTACGGCACAGCCGTCGTTGAAGCTATCGTTAACCCTGAACCAATATCTTGGCAGACTGACTTTAGATTGTGAGGCTGAAAACACACTTTGCTTCTTCGCTTATGATATTGTTATACTACCTTAATTTATATCTCCGTGATAGTTATAGATACAGCACAAGGCTTTTTAGAACATTCTTCTCGTCTTCTTCTGGGTATTCTGAGCGTGGCCCCTTTTGTGGCGGCCAAGGCTGCCTCGTAGTGTGTTTATGCACTGCTTGTGTGAACCGAACTCTGGGACCTAGTTATCTGGAACTCTCGAATTCATTCCAGTACCGTCGTTGAGAGTATACGACCACATGGCCAGTATGTGTATTTATTTCAGCTCGGTCAATCACATATTGTGTAACTCGGCATGTTGCCATTGAGGTTTACAACCTCACAGTATGATAGATCAACTCACTCGGGTATTTGTTGTTGCACATCGTAGTTTCGAGGTCGGTATTTCACCTAGCTGTACATGGAAAAGCCCCTGGTAGTTGTATATAAATAACTTCGAGGCTTCAGTTGCTTAACTTGTGCTTCTATCACCATCTCTTTCAAGACTCTAAATAGTGTTCATGTGATGATGATCTGTTGCTGTATGACCTTAACCCTCTCTTAGATAAGTCGTTGACCTCTTTCTATCGATAAGCCGGATTGCTCAACATCTTTGTGGAATAACTTGGGTGAGTATTGCTACCTTGTAAGATAAGCGGCTTGAGATATCGTGTTATCCTGCATGCATGGCCCAGTTGAGTTCAATTACTTGAATCAAGAAACGCAAGCTCATTAGAATGATAAGAATACCATGGCATGCTTGCTGATAGTTACGTAGACTTTCTAGATTGTTGACAAACCTGAGTCCAGCATCACAAGGGGATACGCGTCGTGATGCACAGTCCATACTCAGCCAGTAATGTTGTATTGATCCGGAAGGTTTTACCTTCTGTACGTATCGCGGCTAGTGAGTAGCTCCATGAATTGTCGTAAGCCCAACAACAGTTGTCATGGACAGACCAGTCTAGATGGCCATGATCTACACGACTGATGAACCAAAGACTCCACTTCATGAGGGGTTATAGATCTCCATGAGGGCCTTTTGGCTGAACTCAATTGTTTGTTTGAGGTTGAACTTGTTTCTCTGTCTCATCTGCTTTTCTTGAACGAGGTAATAAACGACCTATATGCATCTCAACATTCCATCGTGCGACACGTTAACTGCTATACTGCCAAAGAGTCGATGCAAGGGTCCTTTTCAGCTGAGAACTAGGAAAGTGGCAGCTAGAAAGAGACAGCTCTCCACAAGCAAACAATCTAACGATGCGACGAAGAAAGCAAGTGATTTTAGCTTGGCTAGCTCGCCGGTAGTTGACGAGTGGCGTGAGTCAAAGAGCGACGGTTGCATATTGTCAGCATGACACGAGAGCTCCTACAGAATACGGTACTGTGCCTGATCGTATAGCTTGGCACGTAGCAATGATGATGAGTTCCTTGGCTGTCATCAAGAAATTTAGGACCAACAGATGATAAACTAACAACCAACATACTTTGATGGCTGCCAGGATTAATCGGACCTGCTCCGAGAAGGCAGGTCAGTCGGAAATAAAGAGAATAAGAGAAGGCAAAGGTTTCTCATTCAAGTCATCAGTGTGCATGGATTACCTCTGGCGATTTACGGTGAATCTTGGTTAATAATGGTTGATGCTTCATACAGACAACATCAAGTGCCTCGTCTAGTTTGAAACCCCCGCGGTACTCTACGGCATAACGAAAACAGCTTAGCCAGGTCTCATGAGTGCCTTGGATCTGCCATGCATGTCTTTGATTGCCTGTCAGTGTCTCAGTGACCGTCTCAATGCATACTCTCTCGTTCTCCCTTTTCAAACTGCTAGACACGAACCCTGTAAATATATCGTCATAAGCACAGAGCTTCCACTGTCTCAAGCCCCCTTCGACCGTTTTGGCTGTTTTTCGTCCATCGTCAAAGCGGAGCGAGCCGGCCTTTCATAGACCAGACAAATCAAAGTCAAAGCACAACACCGACGGGCACTATTCGCTGGTCTTTGACAGGCTAAACCTTTTGCTATGTGTAGTTGCGTCTAAGTTATGGAGATCCAACTCTCAGAGCTATGACTGGAATGACACTCTCTGCTGCGAGTTGACGGATTGGGGCTGTTGATGATCCTTCATGCTTCTGAGTGCAACCTCGGAAATGCAAGAGACGGCCGATTTATTAACGTCCACACCGCCGAGATATCGAATGGAATACATCAGAAATTCCGTTTGTATTCGTCTTGAGCCGAGCGTCTAGTCAAGTTCTAGACCTTTTCATCCTTGTGGATCAGCAACCAACATTCTTAAGAAACTGGGGTTCTTTAATAGTAACGACCACGATGAGATATTTTGAATCCATGTCGGCACGGCACTTGTTGGCTGAAAGCCCTGCTCTGCTGAAGAGAAAACAGGGCAAATTGCTTTGTTCAAGGATATGAACCTAGACCAACAGAGTCAAGTCTAGTCAGGTGATGAATTGTTGACGCCTGCAACCCGCAGAACCTTGCTGATCTCTATGGTCAAGACTCCGTTGATCAGGAAATAGTATGACTGGGGATACTGCACGCGCTGCTTGTCCTCGCTTCAGAAGTGCCGAGCAGACCAAACGTCTCGAATTGAAAAACGTATCGAGACGGGAAGGCGTATAGAAACTACGTACTATGGATATCTCTCATGCCCGGGCGCAAACTTGAGCTTGTTAGTTGGCCGTTGGACTAGCATCGCGGAAGCGAAGCCAAGCGAAGCCGATCAAGGAAAAGAGAAATAGAGCCGAAAAGGAAAAAAAAAAGCTAGACTACGGATCGGACAATGACAAGAATGGTTTGAACTGCCGTGACAGCTTGGCCTTTCTCTCATTAGACAACGTTAGTGAACCATCGGCTGCAGAACTACTATAGGAAACAATCACCAGTCGATCATAGTGTGCTTTATTCATTGTCATGTTACGAGCTGTTGATGCGACGTTGATATGCACTGTTATGCGAGATGATCTCCTTGGCTTGGCTGCGTGTTGAGTTGTCCTTTAGCCGTTGGACATGAACACGCGGCGATGGCACAGCCTCTCTGGAGGTTGAAGAACAGGTTGAATGTCAGCTGTTTGGGGTTACACTCGATTTTGACCAAGGAAATAAGAACCAACACGCTCCTCTCGAGGAGGCCATTGAGTTAAGGTCTGGCGAAGAGCGGATAGAATTTCCTGAGAACATGCCTAATATCCGTCGGACTATTCATCCTTGAGATAATTCAATAGGACATGTGGGCTTCTAGAGACGGAGATTGATAAACCCTGTCTTCCTTGAAGACGATCATCAAGTACGGATACAGTGTCACTAGCAACAAGTATCGTCATGCAGCACAATGACAAGTTCGCGAGGAACAAGGCTGATAGTTTCCGCCTGCTGTGGCATTACCTATTATAGGAATTGCAGCGAGCCGGTAGCCATGCGATATTCAGTTTATGCTCTGATCGCACAAACGACGGGAAGTGCGGTGTTGTGTTTCTCGACCTTCCTCTGTAGGTAGGTCGTTTCAGAGGAAGATCGTGCATGGGGAGGGTATGACAAGGGTTTTTGATGAGAAACCAGATAAAGAATTTTTTTCCGTCGTCTAGAAGAAACCAAAGAAGCGGTAGTCTATAATACATCGTTAATGAGTCCCTGTAGACCATGGGTTTGAAACGGAG